TAACAATTAAATGGATAGGATAATGCATTCTGTGGATGCCAGTAAGCCCCTAGCCCCAGCCATGCCTATCATTACTCAATTCATGAACGAAGTGGCAATTGTGGCAGAGATAGAGAGCTCAGCAACATAGATTTCTACTTTCCAAAGCTGAGTTGGCTATAGCCACTGCTGAGTGCCCAATCTGCCAGCAGCTGAGACCGACAGTGTGTCCCTTATAAAGCACCATTTCTAGGGCACAATCAACCAGCAACCTAGTGGCAGGTTGATTACATTGGACCACTTCCATCATGGAAAGGGCAGCATTTTGCTCTATTATGATAGACACTTAGTCTTATTACAGATTTGCTTTATCTTCATGCAGTTCTTCTGCCAAACCTATCATCTGTGGGCTTAAATAATGCCTTATCCACTGTCATGGTATCCCAGACAGCAATGCTTTGGATCAAGGAACTCACTTTATAGCAAATGAAGTAGAGCAACTGGGCTCATGCTCATAGAATTCACTGGTCTTACCATGCTCTCCATAAACCTGAAGGAGCTGGCTTGACAGAATGATAGACTAGCCTTTTAAAGAGACCATTAGGGCACCAACACTATCTTGCAGTGTTAGGTCAATGTTCTCCAGAAGACTGGATATGCTGTAAACCAGCATCCAAGATATGGTGCTACTTCCCCCATAGCCAGGATTCATGGGTCCAGGAATCAAGGGGTGGCACCACTCACTATTAATCCTATTGACCCACTTGCAAAAGTTTTGCTTCCTATCCCGAAACCCTATGCTTTGAGTGTTTAGAGGTCTAAGTTCCAAAGGGAGGAATGCTTACATCAGAAGCCACAACACTGATTCCATTGAACTGGAAGTTAAGGGTGCTACCCAGCCACTTTGTGTTCCCCATGCTGGGGTCAGCAGGCAAAGAAGGGAGTTACCATATAAATGACTGGCTTAAATGACCCTATTACCAAAGGGAAATTGAATTGATACTACAGGATAAGGGTAAAAAAGAGTATGTCTAGAATACAGGAGATCCCTAAGGATGTCTCTTAATACTTCCATTTCTACAGCAACCCAATTCCAACATTACTAATTGCCCAGACCCTTTAGGAATGAAGGTTTGAGTCACTCCACTTGATAAAGAACCAGCTGAGATGCTTACTGAGGTAAAAGAGGATATGCAATGGGTGGTGGAAGAAAGTAGCTCTAAATACCAGCTACAATCACATGACCAGTTGCAGAGAAAAGGATTATAATTGTTTTAGTATTTCTTCCTTGTTTTGTTTTATGTATGTGCATACACTTGTATTTGCTTCACTGTTTTGCTCCTATAGAGAATTCAGCACAAGATATACCTCATTCTGCATTCTAGCTTGAAGTTCTCCTCATTAGGTGTTGTTTCTCACTTTCCTACCTTTGCATATGCTGCAGACTCTTTTACCATCCTTCCACTGGCATGCCTAAAGAAAGCCTTCCAATCTTTCAGACTCAGTTGTTACCTCTTTATGAAGCTTTCCTAATCTGACATCTGTAGACTTGATGTGTATTTTGACAGGATAGTTACTGCTTTGCTATCATTGTTTAAAAGTTTGTTTTCCTCTCTGGGCCCTAAGAAAAAGAACTTTGATGCCTCAGGCCACATTACAGGCATTTAATAATTGCTTGTTGAATGGGGGTATTAGGAAAAGACTTGAAGTAGACAAATCCAGATTGTATGCGGGACCAAAGACAGACCAGTTCCACAGGTATGAAGAGTTAGTATTATGGAGTTGAGTGATGAGCCAGGAAAGATGAAATTGTAGAATCAGAAAAAGTGGGTCTTCTGGCCGAATTTCTTCATTTTTGCATATAGAGAACCCTAGCAATTTAGTTGCAGAATAAGCTCTAAAACCCACATCTAGCAGACTTTTCTACTGTCTTCAAAACTGGAAAGACACATTCAAATTGGAGGGCCAACGGAAAAAACAAAGAGGTGGCTCTTAAGTCACCTTTGGCTGGATCCATCTTAAAAGGTCACACGACCAAAGATGCATACCAAAATCTGGCCCAGATTCAAGAGGGGTGAGACACAAGGCAAGGATGAGCAGATGCTGATAGAAATTGTAGGAGATGAGGAGGAAGGCACAATGCAGTTAGAAGATGAATGAGTCAGGGACACATCCACTCTTTGGAAAAACAGTAAAAAGTTAACCAAAGTTCCATTTCACCCATCAAACCCATGATGCTGGAATAAAGTTAGAAAGTTAGGGAAGTGAAGGCCAAGAATTAGATTCAACTCATTTTCTGAGTGCTGATTTGTGCTTGGCAGACACATGGCACCTTTACCTACAGTTATTTCTCATGCCAAATGGAGGAGGAAGATATAAATAGCTTCATCTTACAAGTTTCCAGAGAAAACATTACCCAAGATCACACAGCCAAGAATGCTTGTCCAGTGACATTTGTGCTGCACCTTGCAAGCTTCAAAGATGGTCAAAATGCCTGCATATTTTGAAAAGGGTTAAAAGTATCTAAAGAAATTACAGCCATGAGTGCCAAAATAACTTACAGAAAATATTACATTAGTGATTTTGAAGTCATTGTGGAGAATGTGAGAAATGCCAAAGAAATGGAAATAAGTAGATTTCAGAACAAGGAAAAATATTGATGGCAATAAATTGCAGAGGGACTAAGTGGATGCTAGTTTTCAAGAAAAAATTTTAAATTATTTTAAAGATAGTTTGTGAGCCTTTAAAAAAGAATGTAATGTCACATGATTCACAAGAAAAAAAAGAGAATATAATGGCTAGCCTTCAACTAGTCATTGAGAGTAAACAAGCTAATCTCATTTCTTAAAATGAGATAACTGGATTGGCAAACTAGAAGAACTGAGACACTTAATGAAGCAAGTCAAGAAATAAAGGCTCACAGAAGTGGAGTGCATCCTTTGGCTCCAAAGTCCTTGGACTGTGAGGCTCCTAGATCCACAGAAAAATTGAAGCCACAACACACCGAGATCTTCAAGGAATGCTGGGAGAGGAACTTTTTCCAGAACTGACCCTCTGAACTTGGACTTCTAGCCTCCAAAATTGTGAGAAAATGAATTTTTGTTTGTTGAAGGCAGAAAAAGAAAGAAAGGCTCAAACCAGAGGAAAAAGGACAATAAACCCAAGAAACAAAGGGAAAATAATTATAAAATAAATAAACACCTAATTATTAAAAAAGAAAAGAAATAAACACTCATCATCTTTTGTAGACAAGACAAATATGAAGAAAATCATTAGGTAAGATACATATCTCCGTAGGTACTAATTGGCTTCAACTTGCAGGAAAGCCTCTGACAATGTGCCAGTGGATTCTGTTCTTGGCCTTGGCCTTTATTATTAATGTTACTTTTTAGTCAGAATTATGGTTGAAGACATGGAAAGTATGCCTACCAAATCCTTGGTGACTGAAAGCTGGGAGGGTGAGTTAATAAGACTAATGACAATGCTGAAATTCAAAGTGATTGCAGAATCCTGAAGAAGGCACTAAAAGCCAATATTCAAGATAAAATGTAACAGAGCTCAATCGATTGTACTAGTAAAGAATAAGGGATATTTGGTTCAGTATGTGGAAGAGAATTTGGATCCGTCACCAGTTCAGTATGAAGCAATGATGTGTTGTGATTTCCAGAAACACCAGAGACTCTACTTTTCTCTGAGAGCTGTTCAGTGTCCAGACTTAGAAAAAAAAGGAGTACTTTTAACTTGAATTCTGCTTTTCTCAGGCCACAATTACACGCAGGTCCAGAAAACAAATATCAGGAAGGGCAATTCCAATGGAAACTCAGAAAAAAAGAGGTACCTTCCATGTTATGTAAGAACATTGGTGTCAGTTATGGAAAGACAGACCTTGTTTCAACATATTGAAGAATGTTCTGGTAACTATAAAAAAAGAAAAAATGAAATAGACCTCTTGTGAGGCAGTGAATCTCCTACCCCTAGTAGTACGTTAGTTGAGACTATGTATTACAGTGTGTCTGTACAGGTATTGAATCTACTCTCAGTCTTCCCTCGTAGAAAAAGATAAGCATGTGGCTGCAAAAGGACTCACTGAGGTGATCTTCTGGGCAAGCATGGGGCTGGCTGGGAATTAGGGGTAGTGAAAGGGTATTTGTCCTCTTGCAGTCCTTTCTAGAATCAAGGTACAGAGTGAGCGAGAAGCTGAGTTACCGCTGGAAATACATAGGAAATACAAGGGAGTTTCAAAAAGTTTCTGAAAAAAAATTCCATTATCTTTTAATTCAATGTTTTCATGAATTTTTAAAAGCCCTTTCCTATGATGTAGAGAGACAGACTCCTACCTTTTATCTTACATATCTTCTCTTGCCTATCTTGTTTGCCTTTTCTTTCCTATGTTGTTCCCCAGGCACATTTGGAAGTACAAGTGGAGGCTGAGGGGAACTCTGGGACCTATGTTAAGCACAAAGAGAACCCAAAATTGGCAAGCCATAGCTTTGCTTCCAGTCTCCTATGACAACCCAGATCAAGAAGGGCATGTGTTTGTTGTCAATGGAAGGGTAACTCTCATGAGAAGGAAAGGAAACAGGCTAGAGCCTTCAGTCAAAGGTCATTAAGATCTTGGGTGCAGATAAACAGAGTGGAAGAAAGAGAAAGAAGGTTTTTAAAAGGTCCTCATAGATTAAATTTGCCTGTTTTCAGATGTATGGCAGGTTCTGGGGAATTCACTTTGGAACTTCCCCTGTGCGTCTGTGAGTGAAGGCATTTAACACAACATCTTTACACAAGGGAAGACATCCTCCCTGTTTCTTGGACTAAGAACCTAGGGTGTGGCTTAGGAAGGGCCTTACCCTAAGAGGGGGTTGAGAGAGAGGGAGCTTGGAATGATGTCTTCCAAACAGGTCTTTGACTATAACCACCAGGGAGAGAATCTGGTCTTCTTGAAGGTGTCTCATGTCACCCTCGTTAGTCCTTCAGGATCAGAAAACCCAGTGAGGACATGCAAAGGGAAAACTCACCCCTCTTACCTTTTTCCAGCAGCTACAGTTCCTTTCCTATTGGAATACATGGTGACTAATCTTCTACCAGGCTAGGTAAGTGGACTTGTGTGATCTGAGGCAATCCCTCTGAAAACTGGTTCTTTACCCTAAATCTGACTGGGGCTCTGGTGGCTGGGGTGGGGGAAGAAGAACTAAGGTCAAAGGCTGTTAACCGGCCTCCAGGGTTAAGCAAATTGTAGAGCCCCATGTTTAAATAGTACAGAAGTTTTAAAGTTCAGTTAGACTCAGGGAAAGTGTGACCCATCTCTCTTGTTCACATTCCCCTACCCTTTTCTTTATAGAAATGGAAAAGGAAAGCATGTTCACAAGTTCACACTTGACCACAAAATACCTGACTGAGGAGAACTTTGTGTGCAGGATATTATTTCTTCTAGTTAACCAAATGCATGAATATAATTGGTCAAATTGAATATCCAGAAATGTGCTGCTCGGTACAATATCTTCTCGCTTACAAATTTCTTTATGGAAAGAGAATTCATAATGTCTAATGAGAAAGAAAGAAAAAAACACAATTTCCGAAAGAGGTGTCTACTTTCAGGCTCTGAGAGCCAAGATGACCCTGATCTAGGCCAGGTCACAGTGTTTCCCCTGTGGTCCACAGTTGTAACCATTCCCCACTTAGCTGAAGTGATAGGGTGGAGCACCAGAGCGGGAGTCTCAGGGTGTATGCCAGAGAACTATTTAGCAAACTTCTGCTGGGATCAGAAGATATAATGTGTTGTTGTTAAGTGCTATTGAGTCATTTCCAATTCATAGTGATCCTGTGTACAACAGTATGAAACACTCCGCAGTCCTACATCATCCTCACAATTGTTGCTGTGTTTAAGCATGTTGTGGCAGCTACCATGTCAATCCATCTTGGGGGGTGGGGGGGCGCGTTCTACCTATTTTTTTGTTGACCCTCTACTTTTCCAAATATGATGTTCTTATCCAGGGTTTTTTTTCCTCCTGATACCATGTACAAAGTACATGAGACCATGTTTTGTCATCCTCACTTCTAAGGAACATTCTGGCTGTCTTTCCAAGACAGCTTCATTTTTCTCCCACAGAGAAAATGGTGGGTTTGAACCACCATCCTTGTGGTTATTCTACATGCCCCACACCAGGATTCCACATAGTGTGTGTTGTTATTGTGTGCCATTGAGTCAGTGTTGAATCATAGCAACGCTGTAAGGGATTTCCAAGAGTGACTTGTGGGTTTGAACCACCAACCTTTTGGTTAGCAGTTCAGTACTAATCCTACAGTACCACACTAGGGTTCAGAGAGTATGCTGATGTTGTGAAGTGCCTTCAAGTCAGTTCTGCCTCATAGCGATCCTGTATAGGGTTTCCAAGGAGTGGCTGGTGAGTTTGAACCACCATCCTTGTGGCTCAGACCAACCTTGAGGTCCAGTGCTTTATCCCACAGCACCACACCAATACTCCAGAGAAAGAGTGTAGGGTGGCTAAAAAGAACACACACATGCAACTGCTGAGATACTTCTTAAACAATAAACAAACCAAATTCTATTTAGTTGTATATATTGGAGCTCTGGTAGTGTAGTGGTTATGAGTTGGGCTGCCAACCTCAAGGTCAGCAGTTTGAAACTACCAGCAGTTCCGTGGGAGAAAGATGAGGCATTCTGCTCCTGTAAAGATTTACAGCCCCCAAAACCCTGTATTCCTGTAAAGATTTACAGCCCCCAAAACCCTGTACAGGGTCACTATGAGTTGGACCCGACTCCACGGTACTTACCAACAGCCAACAGCATTGCTACCTTTAGTGTTATTGAGGAGATTGTTGTTGTTGTTGTTGTTGTTGTTAAGTGCCATTGAGTTGGTTCCAACTTATAGCGACCCTGTTTAGGGTTTCCAAGGAGCAGCTGGTGGGTTTGAATCACTAACCTTGGTGTTAGCAGTCCAGTGCATATCCTATAGTGCTATACTAGGACTTCATAGTGAGGAGATTTATTATTGTTGTTAAGTGCCATTGAGTCAGTTCTGACCCACAGTGACCCTGTATACGGTTTCTGAGGAGCAACTGGGGTGAGCTTGAACCACTGATCTTACAGTTCAAACCGACTTTGCAGTCCAGCACATTAACCTGCAGTGCCACACCAGGACTCCATTGAGGAGATTGTTGTTGTTGTTAAGTGCTGTCAAGTCAGTTCCGACCCATAGCGACCCAGCATAGAGTTTCCGAGGAGCAGCTGATGAGCTTGAACACAAACCTTGCAGTTCAAACAGCTTTGCAGTCTGGCACATTAACCCACAGCGCCACATCAGGACTCCTATTGAGGAGGTTGGTGGTGGTGGCTGTTTACGGTGGTGTTGGTTCTGACTCATAGTGACCCTGTACAGGGTTTCCGAGGCTGTAAATCCTTTATGGGAGCAGAACGCCTCATCTTTCTCCCGCGGAAGAGCTGGTAGTTTCGAACTGCTGACCTTGCGGTTTGCAGCCCGATTCGTAACCACTACGCTACCAGAGCTCCAATGAAGTTAAATGAATGGGGATAAAGACAAAGGAAGGTTTGTTTGCATTTCCTTCTTCTAAACAGACAAAAACAAGTATGCTAGGGTTGCTACAGTAAGGTTCACGGATAGTGTTGTGCCATCTCTGTGTTCAAAGACGCTTTTGTAGGAATTTTAGAGGGATACTCATCTGCACTGAAGTTGTGTCTAGGTTCTTGACTGAATCAGACCCAGGACACCTCAAGGCTTTCTGTGTGCAGTATGATAGTTACAAGGAATGGTCTCAGAAGATGCTCAAGTGCTCAGAGGCTTTTTATCACTGTAAATTAAAGACAATTAAAAAGTCTCCTGTCCAACCACTTGTGCTCCTCAAACCTAAGAGCACTACTTTGTCTTTTGCCAGCAGGCACTGTTTTAGAGTGCTTATCCTACAGTGCCACACCCGGAGTCCAAAAAACTTCCATGTCATTGTTAAGTGCCATTGAGTCTGTTCCGATTCATAGTGATCCTGTATAGGGTTTCTAAGGAGCGGCTGGTGGGTTTGAACTGCTAATCTTGCAGCTAGCAGTCCAGTACTTATCCTACACCACCACACCAACTCTATTTGTTTGTTGTTGTTAAGTGCCATTGAGTCAGTTCTGACTCAGCAACCCTGAGGAGCGGCTAATGGGTTTGAGCCACCAATATTTTGGCTAGCAGTCCAGTGCTTATTCTCAAGCACTACATCAGTACTCTTTTATTAAGCCTCAAATGGGACAAAGACAAACAACATAATCGTCCTGGATAAGTGAAATTGTCAGCATGAATTGGATGGATTCCAGCGAATCACAGTCATGAGTTTCATAGATACATATGATGATAGAGAACAAAGGGAATCAATCACCACAAGACTATGATTGAGTGGCAGATACAATCCATCACTGTTGCAGGCGGGACTACACAAGTGGAGATAGGATCAAGATTAGGATAAATTACAGATTTTAAAAGTTTACAAAATTGGTTCTGGGGCTTTGACCACTTGGCTATAATAATTTAAACTAGATAACATAAGCGTATTTTCTGTAAATCATTAAAAAGGCCCCCAGACAAATTTAGTTTTCCCTGCAAGACTGAGGCAAAACTGCCCCTCCCTGGGTTTCTCTGGGAGTTGTAATCTACTTTCAACACACTTCACCTGAGTGCAAAACTGCCCCTCCCTAGATTTTCCCAGGTCTTGTCTAAGCATTAGCCACCTTTCCTGGTTTAATGGTCAGAAAGAACTCAAATGACTTCTGACTTACGTCAGAACTCAAAATGGAGTTAAGACTTGCACTGTAGAACACAGCCTTCCACAAATCAAAAGTTTTAGAATTTAAGTTTTAATACAGATGTGATGCTGTAGTATCAGCACTGGACTTTGAACCACAAGATTGGCAGTTTAAACCCACCAGCTACTTCTCAGAAACCCTATACAGGGTCGCTGTAAGTCAGAACACACCACTCATCTGTCTGTTTGCTGTACTATGATGGCTTGTATGTTGCTGTGATTCTGGAAGCTTTGCCACCATGGTGGACAAGTTTCAGCTGAGCTTCCAGACTAAGACAGACTAGGAAGAAGGAGAGACAGACTACTTCCAAATATTTAGCCACTGAAAATCCTATGAATAGCAATGGAACACTGTCAGATAGCACCAGAATATTGAATACTGAAACATGATGAAGAGTACCAGAATATTGTCAGATCTAGTGCCAGAAAATGAGTCCCTCAGATTGGAAGGCACTTAAAATATGACTTGGGAAGAGTTGCCTCCTCAAAGTAGAGTTGACCATGATGATATGATGTGAATGGAGTAAGACCTTCAGGTCTTATTTGCAGATGGGAAAAAACTAAAAATTAAGAGAAACAATGGTTAACATTCATTAATAATTGGAACATGGAATATATGAAGTATGAATCAAGGAAAATTGGAAGTTGTCAAAAATGAATTGGAATACATAACATCAATGTCCTACACATTGATGACCTGAAATAGACTGGTACTGGCCATTTTGAATCTGAGAATCACATGGTGTACTATGCCTGGAATGATGTCATATTCATCATCAAAAAGAACATTTCAAGATCTATCTTGAAGTACAATTCTGTCTGTAATTGGATAATATCCATATGTCTACGGGAAGACCAGTTCATACAACTATTATACAAGTTTATGTGTTGTTGTTAGGTGCCATCAAGTTGGTACCGACCCATAGCAACCTTATGCACAGCAGAAGGAAAC